GTTGACTCTACTGAGGAAGTGCTACACGTTAAGAAAGTACTTACAGTTATGATCCAGGTACACAAGCAGATTTTTACTGTGCATTTTAAAAATCTATTTTTGTTTGAAAATGTTGTATTTTAATGTTAAAAAGATTTTCTAAACATACAGAACTGGTAAAATGATAGATGGGTATGTTACATAATCATGTTTCTTATAATGAAATAGTTTGCCAAAATATTGGTCTATATAGTAAATTCCATTGTTATTTGTAATGTAAATTATATGGCAAAGAAACTTCAGACTAAAATATTAGGACCCCCTCATCTAGAACCTAATGCAAGCCAGCAGGAAGATGGAATTTGGTTTGTTGCAAAGGCATTTTAATCTGCTGCTTTTCATCAGTTTTGAAGCATGAAGGTGTATCTGCATTAAACACTGACTGTCACCACAGAGGTCCTGATGCAGCAGAGAGAACAGGCAGGCCCCTGTTGAACTACACACAATAGACATTTTTAATAATGATGGTGTAGCTAGGTAATTCTGGTTAGAACAATGTATTTTTTATTTCAGATTTTCTTACCATGAAATACTCAGAATGTTGCTTTTTTTTCTTTCCTCATTTCTATGTAGATATATTAAGTTTTTTTAATTAGAAACTTTAATAAGATAATAGTATGTTTACAGAAAAATTTAAAAGGTGACATCTACCTGGTAAATATAACTAACCTGAGAATAAATGAAGTTTTAAAATCAACTTTAAAGTACATCCTAAGCAATTATATTGAACTTGGTATTTTTTGGTTTTTGAATATTTCCTCAAATGTGAAATTTGTATTATTTTAAACCTTTCTACTCAATGCAGACATACTACTTTTATAAATAGTAAAACTTAAAGTTGTTATAATTACTTGTGCTAGTATGTTTTTAATTTAAATAGTATCATGTTTTCACAGGTGTGTATAAGTATGTCTTGACATGTACATTTATATCAACAATTATATTTTCTCAGGCAAAATTGAGTATCTGTTTTCATGTCCAGATAAAATCTTGTCCATAAATACTTGGATGAGTAACTGGCTGAGTTTTCCTGGAAAGAGCCAGGCAGTGAATGTTGTGGTCTTTGTGAGCCATAAGGTCTTGCTCTCAGATTTCGAACCCTCAGCAGCACGAGTGCGCTGTACAGTGATTAAGGGAATGGTCATGCCTGGATCACAGTGGGCTGTAGATCTCTGACAGGCCACTGGTCCTAGTAAGCTAGCTGGTCACATCTGGCCAACCAGTGGCTTGGGGCTTTCAAACACTAACACAATGAGTGTGTAACCTTTATTTGTAACTGTAGTCCTTCCTCCTAATTAGGCCCTCCTGGAACATTAGTACCATGTTTTAGCAACCGAAACATTAGTTCCTATGGTTTTAAAAAGTAAATCTTAAAAGACTGAGAAAGTAGTCTAGTCTACTGGTGAAAGTTACTGTGTCATAAAACTTAAGGTATTCTCTAACTCAGAAAATACAAATTTTATAGACTTTTATTTTCAGGATACTCTAGAACTATTTCTTAAGTTATGTAAAATGACAGCATTAAGAAGTGCATTTTTTTACATGGGCTGCACAGGCAGGGGGATCCCTGTGAATTTGAGGCCAGCCTGGTTTTACCTAGAGTTTAAAGAACCCAGGGTGAGAGACCCTACCTTATTTTTTTTTTTCTTGTATCTGAAAATACTGTGAAAAACCCTTGTACTTGACGCAATAAAATGTTAGAGTGTTAAAAACTCACTTCAGCTTCTTTCAGGGGAAAACCTGAAGGACCTCCTCTAGACTTTGTGTTGTTTTTTTCAGCACACTCTGTGGAAATGGTGACCAGAAGAACAGGGGGTTGATAAAATGATAATTGCATCCTTTGTTCATTCTTATTTAACTTGATTTACCCACATGTGAGAGCCCTAAATGTTCTCATTTTCTTTTAAAAATAGAATATAAGCGTTTTTTGCCCTCAGTGAGGATTATCAAAGTTAAGAGAATGAGTGTAACATTTCTAAATCTACTGCTCTTTGCTTTGAAAAAGTTTGCACGTTATCTCACTGTGAAAGTACTCACGTTGGTAAATACTTGCTAATGCAATTAAAATAATTTTTATGTATTTCCATTTCTTTTTCTTTCTTTTTTTTTTTCTTTTCTTCAGTTTTATCTTAAAGTTTAATTGTAGGGTTTTCACTCAGTGGCCATTAACGTTTCTTCCTGTCTCTTGTCGAATTGATGTAGGTCATAATGATTACGGTTATCAGCAACCGTCGTATCCTGAACAAGGCTACGATAGGCCTTATGAGGATTCCTCACAACATTACTACGAAGGAGGTATCTATATACCTTCACACACGTACACATGCACACCCCTTCTGCAGGAATGCAGTTCTTGCATAGGACAGTGTCTTCCCATGCAAAGCTCTTGTAGAGTACTAGTTGCTGGCTGTCTAGAAAGTTACAGGGCCCCCAAAACAACCTTACAAATATTTAGAATGTAACCATGATGTGTCATTTCTAACAGCAGTAAAAAGACTAAAACATTTAAAAATGCTTTTTTGCTCCTTGGAAATTTCCTCTTTGAACATAAATCCATCGATCCCCATCCCCCACCCTCACCCCTCGTGTGTGTTTGTACATATGTATTATTTACATCTCAGCATAGTACCTTTAGGAAACAGCTTGCTGATCTTGTGTAGCTAGTGTGTGCTCTTGTAGCTGTCTTTAATTTTGTCTTTTTTATTTTATTTAGCATAGTCATGATCTTAGGACTGTGATGCTCCAGTAACTATAATGCTCGTATGGCAGAGGCGCTGAAAGAGCTGCAGTTCAACCTTGCACAATTGGCTTTAACTGCAGTTTGTTTGGCCGAAATCCTTCTGTTTGGTTTGAGTTTTTTCTTTGTTTTGTTAACTTTTTAAAAATCAATATGGCATTTCAGTTTGTTCTTGTATTGTTGGCTGTGCATCTTAGAGGGAAAAAACCAAGCCATCAATTAGGCAGCCATCTCAGTGCTTGTTCTCCTCTTCTCCCTTTCTTCTGTAGGAAACTCACAGTACAGCCAACAGCAAGATGCTTATCAAGGACCACCTCCACAGCAAGGGTACCCACCCCAGCAGCAGCAGTACCCAGGGCAGCAGGGCTACCCAGGGCAGCAGCAGGGCTATGGTGAGAGCTACTTTGTTCTGCTTTCCTACCAAGAAGAAGTCATGGTTGTTTGTTTTGTTTTGTTTTGTTTTGTTTTTTAATATACAAGTGATATTTAGCCTCCATTTTATTTTAATTTTAAGCATTCATTTAGTGTGTGTGTGTGTGTGTGTGTGTGTGTG